TTTAGGCTGACTTTTAATTTACTGGGCAGGATTTTTATTTTTATTTTTTTCTGTGTCGTTAGCTCAGCAGAGTTTTGGTTGGAGCTTTGTTTTCTCTGGTTTTGCTGTTTGTTAAGGAGACTGTTGGGATTGTTGGGATCAAACCACACGTCAGATTAGGACTGTGTATTGGCAAGAATTTGGTGATATAATACATATCATTTTGTCATAATCCAATATATCGTGGATATATTGCAATACTATATGCAAGGAGAAGTATTGCCTTTTTTTCCTCCAAAAATTCAAATAGAAAAATACTCAGTTTAAAGAGCACACTGTGCAATGGATGCATAAAAATCTAATTAAATTCATTTTATTTTCATACAATCAGTGTTCTTATGATTGTATAACAATAAATAGGCAAAAATAAACAGTGATGTGTTGATGAGAAGGTAATAGAGCTCTTTACTAGCGTTGGAAGGTACTTGGAATTTTGGTATCAGAAACATCACGTTATCTGTTGGCTGTCAGTCGTTGTGGTGTTTAGCCATGTGTGCTCAACGATTCATTGTGTTACCAGAGTATTTGATTCTGGTGTGGCAGATTTTTCCAACAGCATAGCTTTTATCTCAGTCCTTACTTCTTTAATTTAGCTTTAAAGGCAGCAGGTGTCTGTATAATCTGCTCGGATTCAGTATCAGTACTTAGCGGTAACATTTACTCACAATGCTAACGCTTTAGCTAGCATTATACTCTCAGGCTCCTCAGAAATGCAGCAGCCAAACAGCTGGCTGACATCTGTCAACTAACAGTCAAAGGCTAAAATACAACACAAGAATGAACCGCTGTCATTAAAGTTTACATTTTAAACTTTAATTAAATGTTGATACAATGCTTTTTAGAATAAATACAGTATCAGGAAATGAAATGTTTGACCTGAGATATCCAGACTGGTTATCCTATCAGACTTTAAAGTGCCTGTGGCATCATTTTTTTTTTATTAGATATGAATGCATTTTTGGAAAAATAACATTAATAAGGTGTTGCAAAACAAATTTCACACCGCTGAGATGAACCGTTCTTGAGATATTCACGTGAAGTAACAGGAAATGATGTCAAAGGGGAATGTCTGCGTACGAGCAGAGTGTTGCTACAATAGCTAATAACACAAACTGTAGAGAAGAATCGAATGTTTCTTTAAATTATTTAAAGTCACTATCATAGAGAGATGAAGACGTGTCAGAGTTCAAGTAATATTGTTTCAATAAACAAAGATCAGGGTGTTCCTTTTCTTGAAAAGTTTACCTTTGATGTCACTTCCTGTTTTATTTTTACTGAGCCAAGTTCAAAAGAAAATCTGTCAATTATGGGACAAAATGTGTGAAGTCTTGTGTATTATGCCAAGTTTCTAAAACAAAGATATTTTCTTTGACTTTTTGTTTTTGAAGCATTTGCTTGCCACAGGCACTTGAAGTGATTTGTCTCTGGGTTCTGCTGAAGGACAAGATTTTTTTTTTGAAAAGTGCATGCGTGCCGTGGAGGAGTTATTTTAGGAAGACGCTGTCTGCTGACGGTGCTTTGTCCTACTGTTGTACCGAAGGGTTGGCATTTTTCACTGCTACCTTTGTGTTCCCCACGATGCCATTTACTACTTCACAGTTTTCAGCCAGCTCTTGTGTTGGTGCCAGCTTGCCAATTTGCGCCTGGTGGGTTCAAACACACACACCCTCTCACTTTCTGTAGCCTTCTGTTTGTCCCTGAATGCACCGTTTAACTGTCCCATTGCCGTTTCCCTTAGTTTACTTGTCCCGTTGTTTCAGATTCCCAAAGCTACTGTTAAAAAAAAAGAAGAGATTTTCGGGTCTCGGTGAAGTTATTGTGTTGTCCGTCATTGTGGAGCAGCAGGCCTGCTGTGAGAGGCATGATAAATAGGTTCCATCAGACTCAGACCATCTCTCATCTTAGCCAGCTCTTCAGCTGTTGACCTCTACCTTGTCAGTGACTTCTGACCCCTGCTCTTTGTGTCCCCCTGTTCCTACTGAAGTCCCTCTAACAATGGAGCCTTCCATCTCAGACTCTCTGCATTGATTCTGTTCTGCTGCACAAAAACACATTCCCCTCCCTCTTCGCTGTAATTTCTCATGACTCAGAGCATCTTGGACCTCAAACATAAAATCTAATGAGGTTGTATTTTTTATTTTGTTCTGTGGAAATAATTAACCTTGAGGAAAAACACTGGATCACACGCTCTAATGCTACGTTCACACCAAACGCGTTTTGAGCGGCCAAAAAGCGCAAAACGTCTCTCACTGGACGCTCTATGTTCAGACCGAAGAACGCACTAGTGTTCAGACCAGAACAAGCAGCGGCAGCAGCGAGGTGTGGGAGGAGCGTGTCCTCAGCGGGTGAAATAAAGATAAAGTAAAAGAAAATGGCTTTGATTTTTTT